ACTAACAAATTCCAGCTTTCCACTATTTTTTTCTCACATGTTTAAGTAAACTGCATTAAAATGTGCCTTAGATTTTAAAAGAGTATTTTCTTTTGGAATGGGGACAGCCCCAACTGAACATCATCAGAATAGAAAAAATAATGCTACAAACACCTTTTTCCACACCATTTTATAATGACCTCACTCCGCAAAAGAAGGTAGTGGCCTTTTCTATGGGAGCAAAGAGGTTCTAGTACTGTGGCCTGTTGAATATTTTCCAGATTGTGGCCTTGGTCACTTAAGCTAAGACAAGACAGCTTCTCTGCTTAGAATCTTAAATTTAGTTTGCAAATAACTGTTTTCACTTCAGGAAAAAAGTAGTTACAGAAAACAGTGAAAATAATAGTACCTACATGTAGACATGTAATAGTTGTGAAGACAGAAATTTCCTTTACCATAAAAGATACTTCAGCACTTTCCAAGCCAGTCCACAATGAGCACAGTTATTTTTTTAAATCCTATCTCTGTTGTTATTGCACATGACATATTACATTGTACTGTACAGTGTGTGGTGATGAGAAATTCCCTGCTTATTTAATTGTGATCCTTCAATGAATTTGAAAGGGAGCTCTTTATTTCCATTTCTTTAATTTACTAGTTCTTTAGCTGATGATTTTATTAACTCTTGTATTTGAGAACTGATGCTTAACAAAAAAAGGGGAAGGAAAAAAGGCCCTTGGCAGTATTGTGAAGGCCTGGAACTGAATAATGCACTTTAATAATGAGGAATAGAGCTATGGCTTTTGCTGATGGCTGTGACCGGCTCTGTGACCTGATTATGTCGCAGAGTGTCAGCAGCTGAGACACTACAAAAGGGAGCGCATCCCATCAAATCTATCTCCATTGTAATCACTCCTACTGCTGAGAGGCTTGTTAGGAGCAGGGAATCCATCAGGCCTCATTAGCACCGTTTACCATCAAGAAGCTCAAAGAGCAAATGTGTACCCTCTCATCAGAATAATGAGAACCAAAGTACTCCTATTATCTAATTGGATCAACAATGCCTCTCTCTCTATTTAGTTTTCTGGGCTACTTGTGGACGACAACACTCAAAAAATATATATTTTTTTGTTAAGTACCAGGGTGGACCTGCGCTTAAGATTTTTCTTATACAGAAGGATTTCATATCTAAAGAGCACGGACACAATGAAGCCTGGGTTACTTCAGGGGCATTCTTAGATTATAATGAAACAATCCCAATTAATTCACTGTTCAATTAAAATGTGGACAATACAATTACACCATACATACTTAGATTTTCCTTTTTATCTCCCAGGAAACAGACTATTACCCTCTTTATCCACAAGGCAGTTCATCATGCCAACTCTCATCATGTTACTCTTTTCTTTTATGGTGAACTGTTATCTTGTAACTGCTGAATTTAGCGGTATTTTCCTCCTGTTAGACAACTCCCATCTTTTCAAAAGAGTAACTAAACTTACTCGGTAAATATGTAAAAAACCCACAGTAAAAATGTATTTGATCCTGCTGAAGTCAAGAAGCATATATGAATGCAAATGATGATAATTAAGAAACCATATTCATCAACCTTGCTTTCATATTTCTTTGGCTCAATTCCTTACAAGTATTTTGACAACCACCAAATTACACATTTCACATGCTAAATAAACATAGCAAAACCAACACAAAACTCCTGATTTTTTATTTCATTTGCAAAACCAGCATAAAAAAGAGATATATTGGCTTAAACCTCTGAAGAATCCAAGAAAGCAACGGCACTAGGGTACCACTGTAAGGCAGGCTGAAGCTGAATATGTAGGCAGTCTCTCTTTGATATCTACTGACATGGTGCAATTTGGCAAACCTGCTGCCCTGGCCTTTAAATTTAAGATATGAAAGCCCCAGTGCTGCAAACTCTTCCTGGAAAGTGCTGAGGGCAAATAGAATGCAAGCAGTGTTACATGGGCCAATAGCTCTTCATAATATGCCTCTGAAAATGAAAATTTGATTTAGAGTCCTCTACGTGTACTATATCAAATTAATCAGGTGATCTAATCATATTGTTTCCACGGATTAGATCTCTTGGCTTGGTCTTGGGAAGCTCTATATATATTATATATATATATATATATATATATATATATATATATATATATATATATGTGTGTGTGTGTGTGTGTGTGTGTGTGTTATATTGCCATCCAAAGCAAAAGATGAAAAATAAACAAACATGCAATAACTTTGAATTCAATAACTAATTAAATAAAAATATGTTATTTAAATTATTGTTAATATATGTGATCTTTTTTACTGTAATTGTATGAACTCCTAGACTATTGGGAATTAAGGCCATGCCATATGTCATTTAAAGGACCATTTCCCTTAAATTTGGCATAGGATCTTGGATTTGACCTAGAGCTTAATGTCTCCAGGGATTACTGATCACCATATATTTAGCTAGACAGATGGACAAGCCCTGAATTTCTGTAACAGAAACAGCATGTAATTACAAAGATTGCACATATCAACATTCTAGTAACTCATTCAGCTTTATATTTTTGGGAGTGAGTTTTGGGTATCATGCTTGCGATTCCTTGAAAGGGGCAATTTTCAAAGAGCAGAATTCTTAACATGTGGTGCAAATCTATCTCTTTAGCGACTCCAAGCAGATTATTCAGAAATGGAGGTTTCAAATTACTATTTGTTTATGCTCCCAACTTTGAAGAAAGATCTCTTAGTTCTTGGTTAGGTGTTATAACTCTATTAATTTGAAGGGGATGCAATTTAATTTCTGGAATGCAGATAAATTATACTGAATAGTCCTGTTTTAAGGCAGCCTGAGAAATGGTCTCTAAGTAATATGAGCTTATGCTGAGTATTATAAAGCTGTGTGCTATACTACACACTTACTATCAATATTTATCTATATTGTGGCAAGGTCTGCAGTACTGATTATAAAACAAGGAACATTTGCAAAAACAAGTGATAAAAATAAAACCCTTATTTAAAAGACTTAGGCAGATAGCTAGATGCTGTAATTTTATTCTGACAATTGGGAAGATTCTTCCTTTCCTTTCTCTTTCTCTGCAACCTGTCGAATTATTTGACTTGACATTATGTCTGGAATAAACAAACGCAACCTGAGTGAAACTTTCATTCAGTGATATCTTTTTAGTAGTGGGATTTTTTTTTAAGGATACAGTGAATGGTCACACATAGATTATGTTTTCTGTGGAGAACATGTAAAGGAAAAACTATGAAGAAATTAGTCTACATTCATAACTTCAGCTCTTACGATGAACATCTTTGGTGTCAAGTGCTTCATATGTAAGTGGCAACTGTGAACCATTTCTGGAGCACAGAGGAGATAGAAACAAGCAGGCTTCTATGTTGGAGCTGATCTGACTATGAGTTATAGGTATTATAACCAACTTTTCTCCCAAACCAATACCCCATTCCTCCAGAAATCTTAATAGGCTTTTGAGAGCCTCCATTTAAAGCTGGCTGCATAAAATGATCCTTTGATGAAAAGGGATTGAAACAAGGGTTAAAGTAGACATTGAAAGGTTATTGTAGAGGGCACATTGTTCATACAATCCCCCTTTAATATGTGTGGTGTGCACCTGCGATAAGATGATTCATTAGATAAGGCCTCACTTTGACAAGCTCCATCGTTCAACCCTTGGGGTAGTGATGGAACAATTCTGCACCCACCCAGTAAATATAACAAGGTCAGCATTTTTTTCCCTGGGACTTGGATGGTGTTAGTGAAGCTCAGGATGCATCTTTGTTTATGTGTCCTATTTAAAAAAAAAAACAGGGGAGGTCCTATAAAGTATTGAATTTTATTTTTTAATGGGCCAAAATAAAAAACGTCACTCTTGTTCCAATTAACTAGCCATAAATTACCAGGAGAAGAGCTGTTCTTTCTTTTTTTTCTCTTCACTAGTAAACAGTAAGAGTAGAAACTAAATTTTAGATTCACATATCATCCAAGCTGCATAATTTCAATAAATGCTCTTCAGGGCCTAACACCCACATAAACATTGTGGGTATCACTGTATGCCCAATTTTTAGAATTTAGAATAATGACATTCAAATTACACAGTTAGCAGTTACATTGACAGATCTGTTGCAGAGATCCAAGGCATTTTAGTCCTAATGAATTCAATAACGAATGAAAGTAGTCACAATTTGAAAGCCACTTAAATATGGTTTATCATAGGAATTACTTTTATATATGTGGATTCAGATGCATATGTTTCTGCATCATACTTAGACTGAAACTGAAATTTTTAACAAATAAACAGCTCCAAAATGTAGGTAATGCACAGTCTCTCTCTTAGACACACTCACTATTAAACAATGTTCAAGTTTGTGTTTGGAAAATTTTCTTTAAACCAAAATAATCTTCCAAATTTGTATTTACAGGCTGGCATAGTAATTGCAAATTTCTTAACATAGTTAATAAACAGATGAGGAAGCCACTCAGATAACTCCATCACTGATTCTTCATTACAATTTATTTTCCTTTACTAGAAACATTTAATGCCTTTTAAGAAATGATGTAATACAGAAATGCCACAAAAATGCAAAAAAGTGAAGCACCGTACCACTTCAGTGAAGGTATCTGTTATTAGGCATATGTAAGTGGATAGAAGACAGATAGTATGGTTGTTAAAAATTACAGGGTTGCTGGACTTTTAAAATGGTAAAATAGTAGTGCATGGTATTGCACTACTATTGCACTACTGTGATATTTTTAAATGGCTGGAACAAAATAAAACAAACCCTTAGCCTTTTCTACCTTGAAAACACTCCTTAAGAATGCCTAACTGCCCCGTTTCCCAGACTTTCCATTTCTTACCTTGTCTGGCAAATCAATATTTATTTATCTTCAGCATGTGCACTTTTAAATTGCTGTCATACAGGCGGAACTGATTTTTGTCCCAAGATCAGCCTGCCATCAGAATTCACTGTTTGCTCCATCTTCTACTCACCTGTCCTTGTGCATTAGTGACGAGCTGGCCTGTGACCCCCTGAAGACTGGAGAGGGCGTTTCCAAAGGCCTGCGAGTTTGCTATTGAGCCCATGGCTGCTGCTGCTGCTGCTGCTGCTGCCTGACTTGCTAATGGATTATTAACCAGCTGAAAAAAAAGAAATAAAAGATAATGATAAACCCCACGATAAACATATAATATTAACTGAATAATATAAAAGTGATAGCACAGTAAGGTTCATGTTATTATAATGTTTTTTACCCACTTAATTGTGTGTAAAAAATGTCTGCTCCAAGAGCTCAAGTTTGAGAGGTTATTACTTCTGGAGCTTTGAAAACTAGTCGTTTTAAAAAAGGAAGGGGAAATTCCGTGTTGATGTTGAAGAATAAAATTCCCCCTTTTAACCCTATATTCTCTCTCCTTTTTTTTTTTAATCGAGTTATGCTTGATGTGTTTCTTTAGGCACAAGTTGCTAATTCCACAGGTATAGCAGCTTTGTACTGCTGTAAAGAGCAATCAGTGAAAGATTAGCACTTGACTGGGAGTGGAATGTTTACTTGGGGATATTTAGAACAGAAACTATTTTACTGATGACCCCAAACCCAAGAAAAATACGCAAATGAGCAGTTTTTATAATTTTGATTTTTATAATTAAATAATTCATCTCAATATCTAGATAAATCCCTTTAGAAGACTCAACCTTGTAAGTGAGGTCAACAGATATCAAATAAAAATTCAAAATTCATTTGTAAAATATGATACTGAGCCACATGCTGCTTCTCAAATGTGAATGATTAGTTCCAGGATTCATAAATTTTCAGGAAATAATTTGTATTGCCTGCTTTAGTCAATTCTACCTAAATGCACCATAGAAAGTACAGAGCATGGTCATGACTTTCACCTGAAACACTAGGGGAATCTCATGGAGGAGCAGTCCTAACAACTCCTATGCTCATCAAGCATACAAAATGTATGTTCTTCTGTCAGAATCAAAAGTTGTCTTGGACATGGCTTTTCCATTGGATTATTGGGAAGTTTCTATTTTCTTATCCTTTTCTGAGAAAGGACAAACTTTGAATCAAGAACATGGGGATGACAGTAAAAAAAAAACCAAAGACATTTGGAACCATCATCACTTGGATAGCTGTCTTGAGAGCAATCAAACTGAGTTCAAGAAGCTGGAAATACATTTTGGAGTGTCTTTGCCTCCTCAGAATCATTGCATTATAGCAGAACTTGCAAAATATGCATGAGCAGGCTAGAGCAGCCAGAAATCTGAGGGACATAACAGTCTAGGGACTGTTTTTCTTAGACTGAGATGAAAATGCTAGGGCTAACTCAGAAAAGTTTTATGTTTGAGCTGAAATTAGTAGGAGTTCTAAATCCTAAGATGACTAGTAAATTATCTGTCTTTTAGAAATGGAGAGTCACAAGCAGTGGTAGGGGATATACTGCATAGACAGGCTCTGCTTCAAAATAGGCTATAAAAAATTAATCAGTGATTAGTAGATGTTTTAAGCATGTTACAGATATGAGTAGTGTGTATGTTATAGACGTTTAGAAGCCCATCAATAGAAGATGTCAGATATGGTTATAATCTATGCTTATAAGAAACCTACTTGTCTGTTGGACATTGCAAAATCTACAATTGATTGGTCATACATTATAACATCTATTAATCATTCATTAGCTTCTCATGAAGTATTTATAAATGCAACCTTGATATAAAGTGTTGCTTAAAGGGGTGCCTTGGGCATATCCAATCCCTCTAGAAATTGTAAAGTAAATAACTAAATAAAGATTAGTAGCAATGCCAGACAGAAAAGATGACATTGTTTGGAGGAAATATTTTTATTTGGAAAAAATTGTTATATGAATCTCTAAGAGTTGTTCAAAGCAACCCATGGCATGAAAATCAAGCAGGAATAAAACACAAAAGGGGAAAACTTCAATGTATGCTTGATTAGCAGCCCTGATGAGTTGAGCTGTGAAGAGAACTGAGACCAGTACAATGACCAAAGTGAAGCTCAGTCCCTGAATACAATCTGCAAGAAATTCCACTGACTGCACAAAGGTGTGAGTGCAAAGGTAGCTGAATGCACTCTTCAGTCATTTGGGTGGTGGTGCCTGAGCATGGCTGTGTAATGCCAGAGAACAATATAAGTAAACTGGTTAGTTTTCTGCTAAAAACAGTGTCATATCTTTATTGTCTGAATCAGAAGTTAGCAAACACTGCCTTTTTTTCATGGCACTTCATTGGCAGTACTGGGACTTGAAGAAATGTAAGACCTTCAGAAAAGGTTTTCTACCATCTTATTAGCAACCCACAAATTACTGAACCTCTGATCCTACAGCATCTGACTGCAGGTATAAATTATAATATTTTGCCAGTTACCGAAAATCATCTAATAAACTACACTAGCTGCTATATTATTCAGGGCTTCAGAGGTGTGTAAGAACAGCTTCTTGGGAAGCATAAATAAGCCTTGTGAATCTGGCAACTGCAAAGGGTTAAAACCTTCTAGAAATCAGACTATCACCTTCTAGAATCTCTTTTCAATTTTTCTTGCACCAGTTTTCAAAAAATGTACATTTTCAAATACAACAATAAAATTTAATTACAACAAACCCCAGAGACACTCAGGATTGCTTTTAGTTGCATCACAGAGATAAGCTACTTATTAAAAATGACGGCAGAGGCTGTGATATGCATAGTACCATGTTCCAGGAAAAAATACAGGGAACGGGCCAAATCGCAGGGTAAGAGACTTCAAAGTGCATATTAAACCATCCCTATCTATTCATAAGTCTGATTAAAAAGGAGAGGATGAATTTTTCTTTGAGTGCATTGGGGAGCTGTTGACTGCAAGTTATGCTTTATTCAATTGACCCCTTTTATCTTGCATGCAAACTGAGGATGAAGAAATACATCTCATTTCATTATGTTTGGACACCAAGATAACATATTGAATCTTTCTTTTATTCAAAAAATAAGATCTCTAACTTGAGATGTTTACGCGATTTTTCAGTGAAGGTTGGATCCCTAAGAATGCATGTTGGAAATATTGGAAATATATTGTGAAAAATCCCACAAAGGGCTCTTCCTGTTTTGTTTCTGTATTTAAATAATGATTTAATTTGAAAGGCTGAGATATTTGGACCTGTTGATTCCAGTGCCCATAATATCTTCTCCAACTCAAACCTCCAGCCATAACAGTAGATAATAGTAATCTTTGTTTAAAGTGACAGGCCAGCCCTCTTATGATACCTCCGCTAATAACATGATTCTATAAGGAAGCAAATTTTATGAGGAAGAATCTTCAATAACAGAGTAGGTGTAGTACATTTTTCTGAATTTAGAAAGCTGAAGTATTAAAGGTACAGCACACGAAAATTTACTACTTTAAGTCAGTAAAAGCAGAAGGCATTCCAGTGCATCAAACAGAATTCACACAAATAAAAAAAATCTGAGAAATTCTGGTGAATGAAAGAGGCACTAACAAGATCCTAAAACTGTGCCACGCGAAGTAAGAGCTTCTATGGTTAAGGCATAGTCTTCAAAAAAAGCAATTTGAAGAAAAGTGTGTTGGAGTCAATATTACAAACAGCTCTCTTGAGAGCCGCAAATACTTTTTTCATTTGGAATAAAACCATCTTACTCTTTATTTTGAAAACTAACTTAGTATTTCATTGGAGTTGCTGTGAGAAATTTACCAAGCATTCATCTATTGTTGAATACAAGATCAGATCTGATAACCTACACAGGAGGTAGATACTTTCCTTTATAAAAGGCAGGTCCTACTGAACTTTCAGTCTCCTGGTCTGGAAATCAAAGAGTCAGTTTTAGTCATTACAATATTATTCAGTCAACAAATACAAAAAAAAACCAAAAACAAACAAAAAAAAAAACAATCAAATAGTTTTACTAGTGAAAAGTCAAGACACTTCAGGACACCAGAGCATCACATGGAAAAATGGGCATGTAACCGGAAAGGCAAAGTCACTTCATCCTGTGCCAGTATATAGATTCATGTGTTTTCTAAAGCACTTGTGGAGGAGGCTGAGTAAATTCATGCTGCTATCTGAATGCAGCAATGGAGGATTTGAAGGACATATTGCAGAGTAACTTCTGGCATAACTTCATTTTATAAAATAGTATTAGTGTTTTTCAGAAAGACTTAAAAATCACATTTCAGGATATCTCCCAGTGATGGAATTAGTGTAAAAAAGTATTATATTTGATTAGGGACCAACAGATCCTCAGTCTCTTATGTTCTCTGACAAGCTCTTCTGTAGGGAGCATCACACTACTAGATTAGCTGCTGAGATTGTTTGCTTAAACCAATACTTTTCAAGGGAAAACAAATATCTCTAACCATTGATAAGAATTTAGCAATGGCTCTCAGTCAGAAATACATGACATTTTTCTTTTCTACCCATAATGAGTGAAAATTTTATTCACAGAAATGAATTTTTTTTTTATCAGTATGGCATGTGCTTTTCTAGGAAGTTTTAGACAAGAATCTACCTGAATTTTATTGTGTTTAGTTGATGAAAGAATTACAGGTCAAATTATAGTGGGATTTATTCCCATTTTTTCTCAGAGGCTCGTGAGACAAATTCTGGGTAGTAGTCACTAGACCTTAAGGGTAAAGAATGTTTCATACTGATCACAGGCTCCTGAGGATATTAATGCCTTCATTGTTATAGTGACTAGTATTATCATCTGTATTGGGTGTAGATGGAAAGGTTTTGGTAGTGGAGCAGCTGCAGAGGAGGAGGATTAAAAATAGAGTGAACAAAACAAAGGGTACTGTGCAAAACAAATTGATCATAATAATTAACAAGATGACCACTCAGCACTTATATAGAATTGTAGATGAGTGAGCTCTGTCAATTTAATTTATTTTTAGGATTTCAAGTAAAATAAGTAAAGTTTTGAAAAATGCTGTGAACATGCAGATCCCAAGAAAGTCAAGAGAGAATACACAGGCAACATAAACCAAAAGATGTTAATTTCATCCAAACAGATGCTATGAGCAAACATTTTGGAAACTCTGTCTAGTTTTGTACTTACGAGTTAGATTCTTTTTTCTAATGTTGATCTTTTCTTCCCTCCCTCCTTTTTTGTTTACATAATAGGATAA